TGTAAGCAGCAGTAGTCTGGGTTACTCATGTTTTAAACCCAAGCTGCCTCCTTTTACATGAAATCTGAAAATGTATTTCATGTAATTATTCAGGATGGTATTAGGTGGACATGACCACATGTTCCTTTATTATTGCCTTGACAATTTGCTAGATTTCTCAATTGGAATCACTACAAAAGTAAAGGGTTTCTGTCTCCTACCTCTTGCATACCCATAGTCTTCTTGCACCAATGATTTTAAATAATAATAAACTATTGTTGTAGTTGTATGCTGTTAAGTTAATTCTGACACCTAGTGATTCTGAACCATCCCCAGAGGCTTTCCTAGGCTGTAATTTTTACAGGAGCAGATTGTCAGGGCTTTCCTCCTGCAGAGTCCCTTGGTGGGTTCAATTTGCCAACATTTTAGTTAGCAGCCAGACACTTAGCCACTGCACCACCTGGGCTCCTACTATTACTGCCGTTTAGATTTGTTCTTAAGTCATGTCAGTATCAAGACACAATGTTACAGATTTTACAACCTCTTTTGCCTTATTTAATTAGAAAAGGAACAACTACACCATATGACTGGGTGACACAGTTAAGCATTTGACTACTATTTTAGCTTCAGACCCACCTAGAAGCTCCCCAGGAGAAAGGCCTGGAGATCTGCTTCTGAGAAAGCACAGCCTTGAAAAGCCCATGGAACAGTTCTACTCTGCACTCATGGGTTTGCCTTGAGTCAAAATTGATTCCATGGCAACTAACTTCAACAACATGAGTGACATTGAGCCCATATTGCACCATAGTCTTCTGGTTTTCTCTCTTATACCTCAGAGCATGCCAGGCCCACATCTTCTCCAGACATTTGTCCTACCTCTTCCCCTCCCTCATTCTGAATCCTACCTATCTTCAGAGCAGAGCTCAATCCTCACTACCTCCACAAAAATGTCTCCAATCCCCTTAATAATAAAAGGAATAATAATAATAATAAAATGAATCTTTTCCCTCTTCTAAACTTGACCCACACTTCCTCTCTGTAATGCTATGGCTTTACTGATTTCTATCTATGGATTCTCTCCTACTGTCTGAAGCCCATGTCCTCTTAACTCGATGAGGGCAAGGACCCTAGAGCATAGTAAAACCACACCAGTTGCTGTTGAGTCAATTCCAACTCATGGAGACCCCATAAGTGCAGAATAGAACTGTACTGCACAGAGTTTGTGACCTTTTAGAAGCACATTGCCAGGGCTTTCTTCTGAGATGCCTCTGGGTGGGTTCAAACCACCAACATTTTGGTTAGTAGTTAAGTGCTTATAGTAGGAGTTCATTAAATATTTGTCAGATAAATGAGTATCTGCTCCCTAGAGTCAAGTCAATTAGCCTAAGTAAGAGCATTAAGCCTTATTGTGGGCTATGCATGTATTTTGTTTGGTCCAGGAATGTTTTAGAAATCACTTTATTATAAACTTTATACTTTTAAATTGAATTTTTATAACTTCCTATGAAAATTGACATTCAGTTTTTCTTGGAAGATAAAAATATCTGACCATATGTGGCTGCCATGCCATATAGCAACAGCTGACTAGAGCAGAGTAGCTTAGTAGCTGCTGCTGCCTTTAAATAGGTCAGATACTCTCTGTTTTTCCAGTCTCTACCAACCAGATGGCTGGCGGTTCAAACCCACCAGCCACTCGTCGGAAGGAAGGTTGGGCAATCCTACTTTCGTAGTGATACTGCCTCGGAAACCCAAGGAGGGGTCGCTATGAGTTGGGTTTGACTCGACCGCACATAACAACAACAACAACAACAACCACTTTGTGGTATTACCTAGCTTAATGTACTTGTTTACATTATCTGCATAGTTCTTAGATGCATCTGAGTTGGCCATTCCTGAACTGAAGGTTTTAAACAGGCACTATGGTACTTACAGAGTTAATAGTGAGTCATCCAATGAACGTGGCTACCCAGGAACTCTTAGAGAAGGTGATCCTCATTATTTGCAGATTTCATATTTGTGAACTTGCTTACTCAATAAAATGTATTTATAATCACATTAATCATTACGACACAGTCATTCACAGACATGTACAGAGTGGCTGAAAATTTGTTACCCAATGCACATGTTCCCAGCTGAAGTAGAACAATTTGATGTTCTGCTTTCTTGTTTCAGCTTTTATACAGTAAACAAGTATCCTCTTTGTGGTCTCTTTAGTGCCACATTGTTTGTGCTTTTTGCTGATTATTTCACAGTTTAAATGGCCCCCAAACATAATGCTGAAATGCTATATTATGTTCCTGTGGTAGTTAAGGTTGTGTAACAACTTGGCTGGGCCTGGATGAGTGGCTGGGCAGCTGGTGGTAGTTATTTGCCATGAGACTGGCAGTCAACTCCATGGTGGCATCTATCACAAGCAGCTGAGTAGCTGCTTTAGGGATACTTTTGGAATGGTCTCTAACTGATGGCACACTTGAATACTGCATGTAGCTGGGTCGTTGTTCAGCAGGTAGCCATGGTCTACCAACCTTGGAATTTTCAATGGACTTGAATTAATGGCCTGCCGTGTGGGGTAATATTGGGACTGTGCCTTTTTACTTGTCAATTTTGGGCTTGTCAGTCAGCAGCCAATAGCTGTCTGCGTGAAGAAAAGCCTGTAGCTTTCAGTGGACTGGGAGCAGGAGGCAAAGCTGAAGCCCAAAGCTGGGGGGCTTTTACCCAGTCCCTAGAGCCTGGCACTTTGAAATCAGACTTAATGCCTCCAAACTGTAAGAGAATAAACTCCTGTTTGTTCAAACCATCACATTTGTGGTATATTCCTATCAGATCAGCACTAGGTAACCAGAACAATTCCTAAGAGCAAGAAGGCAGTGATGTGCCTTACAGAGACACTACCTGTATTAAATGACCTTTGTTCAGGCATGAGCTATAGTACTGTTGGCCATGAGTTCAATATTAATGAATCAACAATATATATTAAATGTCTTTAAACAGAAACACACATAAAACAACATTATGTATTGATCAGTTGATGAAAATATTGTGACCAGAAGCTCACAACTTAACCTTGTATTTCCTGTAGGAGGAAATGTTCAGTATTTGCTAATTCAGTGCTTTCAGTGACTTTATAGAACATAACTACTGCAAATAATGAGAACAGCTATAATTTGTCTCCATTATTCTAATTTCTCTCCTCTTTTCTTCCTTCCTTCCTTCATCATATTTTCCTTCATCTTCCTTTCTCTGCTCTCTCCCCTGCTTAATTCTCCTTCTCTTACCTATTTTTTCCTTCACTCCCTTTCCTTTCCACTTTTCTTTACACCTATATAAGGATGTTGTTGTTGTTGTTGTTATGTGCCGTCGAGTCGGCCCCGACTCATAGCGACCCCTCCTTGGGTTTCCGAGGCAGTATCACTACGGAAGTAGGATTGCCCAACCTTCCTTCCAAGGAGTGGCTGGTGGGTTTGAACCGCCAGCCGTCTGGTTAGCAGGCAAGTGTCTTAGCCACTATGCTACCAGAGCTCCCTATATAAGGATAGTCAGAAGAAAATAAACTCACCAGACCTTTGGTGCTGCTAACTGTATCCCATCCATTATACTGGGTCTTACTATTCCCAGAGTAGAGTGTTTCTAAAAACTCCTAGAACCACAGGTTGATGTGGTCAGGAGAGAAAAGAAAAGAAGAGAGTAGAGTTATACAACCTTTTTCAAATACAGATGAACTATCCTCAAGAACTTTTACAATAGATGGTACTTTGATATACATAGGCTCAAAATTTGGTGTCTTGAAACAGTTTTTGAAATATGCCATCTCTATGTATTTGCTATTCCTATGCCACTGAAAGATATTCTGGCTGTCTGCACAGTAACTGATTTTAGGTGGGAAGGATTTTGGGAGCTTTTATCAGAACTATGTTTCTGAGAAAATACCTTTATCCTGAAAAACAAACCCACAGTTCTGCAGTATGAAAGCCAAGTGCCCAAATGTGGCTGGCACCTGACTCAGTCTCTAGAGGGTGAAATGTATGATGAGAGATGGAAAGAAAAAGTGAGTTTTCTGGCTGTGGTAGTCACTTCCAAGGTTTACTCTTCATAAATCCTGATTTGTTATGCCAACTATCAGTATATTTGAATATGTGCTGAAGTAATATATCTGGAGTATTCAAAATACTTATCAGAAAAAGGAATGGTAATTAATTTAGCTTCAAAAGGAAAACAAAAATTGGTGATGTTATAAGCATTCAAATTTGAATAAAGAAACATATATTAACAATGATTTACCATCCACGGTGGCTAAATTGAAATTCATAGATAGTCTTCAAGGGTTATTTGGCCATATATGTCAATATCCTTTTATCAAAGCAGGTAACATAGGCTCTTGGGTATACTACTTCTAGGTGATCACAACTCTCTAAATCTATTCATAATATATGATTGGTCACATTTTACATGACTCTAAGAAGTCTGTACTACTCCTTTGATATGGCTTGTAGCCCACTAGCCTGTGAACTCTCCAAGGCAAAGATCATGGCTTACTCATCTTTAACTCTTACCACCTGCTTCTGCCTGGTGCCAGTCATGGAATCACACATGAAGCAAGTGCTAAACAAATACAGAATCAACTAATAGAAGAAAGATTTGATTTTACTTCCTTTGTCTTAGTCAAAGGCATGAAAAAGCAAAACTAGAGGATTAAGACTACCAGCCAACTGTCTGATCAGTTGCTTTGATTATCATCAAAACCAAACCAAACTCATTGCCATCAAGTCAATTCCAACTCATAGCAACTCCAATTAGGTTTCCAAGGATGTAAGTCTTTAGAGAAACAGACTGCCTTATTCTTTGTTCTGTGGAGTGGCAGACCACCAACTTTTTGGTTAGCAGGCAAGTGCCTTAACCACTACATCACCAGAGCTCCTTAATCTCCTGTTGGGTGCATTTAAATTATTTGTAATGATTTTGCAGTCATTTTTCTAATAATGAATTCTTCTGGGACTTCATTTGGATTTTTTAAACTATTCTAGGGCAATGCAATTGGTCTTCATGGGCTTGGTCTTCTTTACTTTTATGGAAAAGGAGTTCCTGTGGTAAGCTAAATAATTTCATTATCTTTTCAACATATTTCTAATAATTGAAAGGATAAAATTTGTTGTCACTCATTAATTCAAAGGGATTATTTTCTATTACCTAGTTTGCAAGACTAGATAAAACAATCAAGTGAAATATGTGCCAAATATATGAAAAAACAAACTTGTGACAAGAATAACAACCTTAATAATATCTTGGAATCATAGATTCTATGTGACCTTAGAGTTCATCTAACCCCTGAGGATTTTATTTATAGAGAAATTTGTCCTCTCAGTTTTGCTTCTGTCTTTTGAGTGGCCTTCTCCAGTATCTAACAAAATCTACTCTCCATTTAGAAAAAGACATAACTTACAATGAAAATGAGGTAACTGCTTCCTAAGAGATTCTGATATAAGGGTGAAATAAAATATATAATACTTCTAATTCCAACTTTATTAGCCTAAATCACATAGGACATTGTACTCTTTAAAAAAATATGTGGAAGACAATTGTTATCACGGAGTTATACATATAACTTTGAGTAATAAAGTGTAATTATCTTGCAGAATTATGCTGAAGCACTTAAATATTTTCGGAAAGCTGCAGACAAAGGATGGCCCAATGCACAGTTTCAGTTAGGTTTCATGTACTACTGTAAGTGCTACAAATATGACTGCTTTATTTAGAATGACAAATGCATTGTTAAGTCTGCTACTTTTATAACAACAGTAAAAGGGCTGGTGTGAGTCTTTCAGATGGAACATTCAGACAGCAATTTGGGGAGGAATTTAAAGTCTGAAAGGGACAAATTGGGGGAGGGGGCAGGGAGGCACAGGGCCTGAAAACTCACTTTTGAAAATACTAAGTTTAAATTGCCTTTCTGATATCCAAACACATATACATACATACATAAAGCAAGTAATGCACTCAGAAGTCAAACTTGGAAAGATTTGGGAGGCATCAGCATACAGATGTTAGTTAAAGATATAAGAGTAGTTCAGCATGCAAAGGGAAAAGATAGTTTGAGAAGGAATCTGGTGAATTTCAGAGCTGTGTTGGAAGATGGGCAGAGGAGGGACAGTAACCAAGAAGGCTGATTAAAGCATGATCAGAGGAATGGGAAAAAAGAGTAAACTTAAGGAAATCAAGAGTACAAGTTTCAAGAAAGAATAATGAATGAGCACACATGTGCAACGAGGTGAGAAGTCTGGTTATAAATAAATTAAGAAAGGGCTGAGTGTCCATGGGATTTGGCAATATGGAAGATGTTGATGAGGTGTTTGGACTGTTTGCGATGGAAGCTATATGTCAGTGGGTTGCAATGTGAATGGAAGATGAGAAAGTAGATGAATAAAAAATATTCATGCAAGAAGTGTGCCTTAACTGGTACGCCATGTGATCCTCAGCCTATATGACTGAGACCAGAAGAACTAGATGGTGCCTGGCTACCACTCTCAACTACTCGGAGGGGGATCTATGTAGGAGATCCTGCATAGAGTGGAAGAACAATGTAGAACAAAACTCAAAATCATGAAAGAAAAAAAAAAAAGGACCAGGTTTGCTGGTGTGAAGGAGGCTGGTGGAACCCCTGAGACTATGGCCCCTAGCTGCCCTTCAGGTCTGGAGTTGAACCCACTCCTGTGACTTCCAGCCAAACAAAAGACAGGCATATGAGTTGAATATTTATATTAGGTAGATACACTCTTTGGAGAGATCAATCATGGGAGAATCAATCAACATAATTTACAGTGAAAATGAGGTGGCTATAGGGAGGAAGTGGGAGGAGAGCTATTGCATTGTGGGAGATTACAGTCAATATCATGAGACAAAGTGTATGTGAACTACTGTATAGAAGATGAATTTGCTCTGTAAACTCATCCAAATCACAATAAATTTTTTTAAAAAATAAAAAAATTGTGCCTTGAAGAGGAGAGAACTGGAATGGTAGCTTGAGGAATGAAAAACAAGAAAGTTTTTTTTTTTTTTTGGTATCCTCTGCAACTAGTACAACCTAGACAAACAGGTGTGGAAACACATCAGCCAAGGTCTTTTTATATACAAGCAAATATAAGTACATTATTTGCCTCCTTTTTTCACACAAAAATAAGTATACTATATATTTGCTCTGGTAGTGTAGTGCCTAAGGCACTTGACTGCTAACCAGAAGGCTGGTAGTTCAAACCCACCAGCCACTCCTTGGAAGGAAGGTTAGGCAATCAACTTCTGTAGTGATACTGCCTTGGAAACCCAAGGAGGGGTCACTATGAGTCAGGTCCAACTCAACAGCATATAACATAAACAACATACATATTAGAGGTAGTCCCCGACTTACAATGCATTGGTTATGACAAACCACACTTAAGACAGTCTTTTCTTTTTTGTACATCTTATTATTAGTAATATGTATATGTATGTATATGTATATTATAAGATTTTTGAAAGTTTATATGTAATGTTTCCAACTGCCAAAGACAAACTAAGATAGGATTTTTAAGAAGAGTAATAATGAAAGTCAATAATAATGAAAACTAAAAAAAATGAGATATTAGAATACTTCAGGATAGTATTATTGTTATTATTATTATTATTATTATTATTATATAGGGGACTACATATATTCTGATTTTGCTTTATAACGATACGTCTTGGAGATCTCCCACATCAGGACATAAAGAAGTCCCTTGCTCTTTTAAAAAAAAGTTAATAAATAAAAATACCATTTACAATAGTAATGGTATTGTTCTCCTACGTTCTTTTTCAGAGTTCTGTTTGTTAGTGTAAAGGAATCCAACTGATTTTTGTATGTTGATCTTGTACCTTGCCACTTTGCTGAAATTTTCAATTTTTAAGTTTAGTAATTTTCTTGCTGAGTTTTTGGAATTTACTATGTATAGGATCTTATCATCTGAAAATAGAGATAGTTTTACTTCTTTTTTGCCAATTTAAATAACTTTTATTTCCCTTTCTTTCCTTATTGCTCTGGCTAAGGACTTCCAATACATATTGAGTTGTTGTTGTTGTTGTTATGTGCCGTCGAGTCGGCCCCGACTCATAGCGACCCCTCCTTGGGTTTCCGAGGCAGTATCACTACGGAA